GCCAACTGAGCACTTCTTCTAAGAAAGCAAAAATAAAAATATTACTTATAACTTTATTATTTTTTTTCTTATACGCATCTATTAACTTAGGAAGTATTTATAAGTGTGAACATGGAAGTTGAAATTACATGAGCTGTACTTTTCCTCAGGAAGATCCACATTGGTCACGTTCATATAAACGTTTTTATTTATTTTGATATCCAGAAACCATTCTGTAATAAAAGACACACAATAATGAAATATCCTACATAGGCGTGAAAGATATGTTAAATAATGAGCAAGAAGTTCGAAGAATTGCGGAAGGAAGCAGTTGATATATGTTCAAAATACACGTAGTATCATATTATTTGATAGGGGGAGATAAGAAACGCTGCAAAATTGCGACCAGGACAGGTTTTGTCTCGATGGACATTCGAAAGAGCCACTAACCGAATACAAGTTCGAAGTGTTACCAGTTGAGCCAGATTGATCCGTAGGACGCGTAAACCAAAGTGAAAATGCATGCGTGCGGATATGAAATGAGGAATGACTAAGTGATAAATGCATGCGTGAGGATATGAAATGAGGCATGACTAAGTGATAAGTGCATGCGTGAGGATATGAAATGAGGCATGGCTAAGTGATAAGTGCATGCTTGAGGATATGAAATGAGGAATGACTAAGTGATAAATGCATACGTGAGGATATGAAATGAGGCATGACTAAGTGATAAGTGCATGCGTGAGGATAAAAAATGAGGTATGACGAAGTGATAAATGCATGCGTGCGGATATGAAATGAGGCATGACTAAGTGATAAATGCATGCGTGAGGATATGAAAGGAGGCATGACTAAGTGATAAATGCATGCGTGAGGATATGGAAGGGGGCATTCGCAGTATTGCAAGGTATTAGCTCCTTATTTACATGGAGACCCCGAGGAATGCCACGAAAAAGGTGACCGATCAAATACATTCTTGGAGTGCCATTAGAGAATTGTGCTTCAGTCAAGCATTTCTATTGCCCGTTATCATGGCACGGCGCTTCCTGAGTTTGCGGACAGGTAAGATGGTGTACGGATATGCAGGTTAGTTATAATTATATTGAATAAATTCTAGCCGACGTCCACCTTGTACTTCTTTGTTTTTAGTTTATTTAACGACGCCATCAGTAGCGTCGAATGATATTGTGGCGTGCCGTCTAAAAGCCGGAATATTGAAGTTGGAAAATAACAGAGACGTCCATTTCCGGGTAACGGCTCAATAAGAGTTGTTCCCGCAACAACCAATACGAGTATGTGAGAGATAAAATCATCGGGTTACCTAAAGATGAAAACACGTTCCCGCTGCAACGAATAGATCAGCTACTGATACACTAGCTAACACGGGAAACAGACCCCTGAAGAAGGTGTCTTCTAGGCCGTCCGACTGTCTGTTATAGCAGGCAGAGGGAGATCAGAATTGAGAACAGGTCAAAGCGGAGGAGACCAGAGTGGAAGAAACCAGCTCAGCCAAGAACCAGAAGACGAAACGTGAGAGGCGACGGGCTAGTCAGGTCGCAGCGTCTGGAAGAGACTATTTCAGAGCGATTATAATTGTAACTGTAAACGACTTCTCCAATAAACAGCTTCGTCTAATCCGGAACCCATTTTTTTCTTGTCGCATTACCGGGATAAGTGACAATGTAATGACTGGGACAGGATATGAAAAGTAACTGTTTTGCACTATCCCGGCATTTGCTTGGAGGGACTATGAAAATCCTCCATGAGGATATTAGAATAATCATTATCTCGCTTAAGATTCAAAAGGAGAGCTTCAAAAATATAAGTTGGAATGTTGTCGAATCTCCAATTTTGTTTAATTGATGCCGTATAATCTGGTAGATTTTTATCAACATTTGGATTATTTTATCCATCTTCCAGTTAAAAATATTTACTCTAAAGAAGAAGGCAACACGTTCCTATAAAAAGTCGATAACGAAATACAAGACTACACGGCATCACATCCAAGAATGAGAGTAATATTCATTTAGAAACGTTCCTTTTTATAGACGTGAGTCTTACTTCATATAGATCTGTTACCTTTCAAGTACGTTAAACAGCACAAATGCTATAAACCCTGTGTTTCAGAATGGACAAATTAAATTTATAGATTGTACTGAAAATATACGAAAGTTATGCGACTTCTAAAATTATAGAAGATCAGATGAAGTAAACGAAATTTTGATGTGACGGAAGTACATATGTTTGGTGCAATATAAATCCTTGGAAACGGATTTTGTTCTAAGGCAGCCGTAATATTTCTCAGTAAAATATTTCGTAACTAAGTAAGCTACAGATCTTTAAAGCCATGATTGTGATCCAACCCAGTTTAACCTATGTATACTTTAGGAATTTTTCTAACCGTTTTCAGTTTTTCAGGATGTCCATTGCCACAGAAAGAGCTTGTTCAATAATTCAATTACGACTTGTTTGTTTTGGTGGAACTGCTTTTATCTACAAAATCTCATTTTCTCCAGCCTGAAGAAATGTCAAGGTTTGCACCTCGTCCTGTCGTGTTATTGTAATTAAGTTATCTTTTCAGTCGAAAATTAAATACTTTAAAAAACTCTGTATACCTGATCAAAGAACTTTCGTTTACTAATAACAAACGCCATGAAATATTACGCTGCAATACTTATGTTGAATAACGGCTATCTAGAATGCGCATGTCTGCAATAACATATCAAAAGGCTTATTAGGGCAAGGAAACTTTATAATCCACTTACAGTTTCCCAGGGTATGTTGGAAAGTTGGGAAATTATTTAAATCACCCAATGTATGACACAAACTCCGTCCTAAGTGCAACAATTTATTGTAGTTCTTTTGTCTTCTTTTCTTCTACACTACATGTTTCGGCCGTAAATGGCCATCATCAGGTGTATTTCTCTCACGTAGCTGTTACACTGCACGTAGTTTAAAATTTAAAAACTCCAACTTTCTTAATTGTTCATTTCTCAGTTGTTAATAGGTCCTGATATATCAGAATCCCCTTGCTGATATTTGTCAGATATGTATAAAACCTCTGTTAATTTATTTATGTCAATTTGATTTTTGAATTTTACTATTTTTAAAATCTTCAATTTAAATTTAAAAATTGCTGCCTAGCAACGGGTCTGCATACCAAAATATTTATATATAGAGAGAGTATACATATATACATACATACAGTATTTATGTACAGCATCATAACTGAAATTGCTTCCAATTCCTAATATTCATACTTAGGGAAAAAATTTCTTTTAGATTTGTGTTTCAGAACCATAAATTTCCTAGCTGCCTTACGTACACATACCTGTCAGCCTCCCTTTTGTATTTTTCACAAAATGGGCTGAATCTGTCAGCTGTTTCAGATTCAATCCTGCATTTTAAATTCTTGATAAAATACAATCCAGAGTCATATAGACAAATCAATGCAATCATTCTGCTTGAAAACGCGAACTATTTCTCAACAAAACTTCAAGTACGTCTCCTGTCGAAGTAAAGAATACAGTAGTGTGTGAGCCGAGATCTACTGTGGCGCCACGTGCTCTCTTGAATGTTGCAGCGTCGCCAAGTCATTTGTTTTAGAAACACTGATCTCAAACATCAACAAACTATGGCTCATTTACACCTCTTTCCTCCGATGCGTGCTACAAAATTTAATGATGCACCATCCTTACATTTGTAAGGATTAATTAAATATGAATTATGTATGTGTATAATGTATATATATATAAAGTAAAAAATAAAGCTATCCCTGTACCAGGCCGCGAAGGGCCATAGGGTTGTGAGACGTTGAGGGTCCCACACTATCTAGACAATCGGCTCAAAGATGGCGGTAAGGTTGTCAGTCTTACGCGCCGCCGCGCTTTACTCCCCAGAAAAATTATTTAATTAATTCCTGGTACTCATTTCTGTTAGAGGTTGAGTAAACCTCAGGGC